CCATGGCGAGTAACCGGTAACATCCGTTCTACGCATCCAAAACACCGCTTTTGCAGCACTGAAGACTGCTTGGTTTTGTGGCATCTATTTGAAAGGTGTGTTGTTAGGATTTGATAATCTCCCCTTCTATGTTAATTTAAATCGTCTTTCAGGTAATATGTAGGTTGCACAAAATGTCCCTATGTCGCGGTCGTTGCCTACTATTTTCTTTGTACTTCTGACATACAGAACTCCCTGATTTGTTGAAAACTTTGTAGCAAAATTAATTCACACACCAACTCAGCCTGACAATTCCATGGTACAATAGTTTTATACGGCGTAAGAAGAGTTGCTTTACAAGTCCCGTTGGATAGTTATTAGGGATATTGAAATAATAATAAAAATATTATTATTATTAATATTATTAATTAAATTTAACTGTTAGTTGATGGAAATTGGGTATTGCCCACCCAAAAATACTGCACAACCACGACGCGTTTCGATGTAATTTTCATCTCATCAGGTGGAGACAGCAGGATTTGAACCCAGGACCATTGGAATAGCAGCCAACACTACTACCCCTTTGGCTACCGGGTCACGATGGGCAACACATTTTGTCACAACGGTAGATGACTAATTGGAGGGTCAAGTTTGGATTGCACGTTGTGTGATTGGATTGCGACACGCAACCTCAATATAATGGACTGTGATTCACATTGAAATGAACCGTTGTCACTGCGATCGCTGGGACCGTATTCAAAGTAGATGGAAATTGGGTATTGCCCACCCAAAAATACTGCACAACCACGACGCGTTTCGATGTAATTTTCATCTCATCAGGTGGAGACAGCAGGAGTTGAACCCAGGACCATTGGAATAGCAGCCAACACTACTACCCCTTTGGCTACCGGGTCACGATGGGCAACACACACCTTCGTTCTGAGCCGGTATACGTAGCTGCTCTGATGTCGAATGGAAAGTACCTTGCATTTACGGACGTTGAAATGCAATAAGTTTTCGTTTGACCATTGATATGCCGGATCTAGGTCACTCTGAAGCAGATGCTGGTCGGCGTTCACCTGGATCCTGCGCCAGATCTTGATATCGTCAGCGAGCATTAGAAAGTTTGAAGCGATTCCTTGTGCAAGGTCATTAATGAAGACCAAAAAGAAGCGTGGACCTAACACTGAGCCTTTGGGGCACACCATACTCGACTTGTATGGGTCCGATAAAGAGCTCCGAAGTCTGACCACTAATTGCTGTTGAAGTAGATTGGCAATCCAGCATAAAAGGGGGTCGCCGAACCGTGCAACAGTTAACAAACACCGCCTACTTTGAAAATAAACTTATTGAACTTTGGAAGAACCACCCACACACTGTGATGTTTCGGGCACAACTGACTTCATTCCAAAACGAAGTTGCACCTCACTCATTAGAGCCGAGGAGTAGGAATGGCAAAATACCACGGTACCCAAGTTTGCGAGCAGTAACAAACAACTTCACAGGTATGTGAATAGCAAAAGAAAGCTGAAGCCTTAGATACCGTAACTCAAGTCTGCCGGTGGCCTAACGACTACAGTCAAGGACACATTGAACGCACTACTGCTTCAGTTTGGCTCATTGACTATAAACATTATGGAACATTCGCGTTCTCACCACCAGCAAATGTCGTCAGCTTATCCAGGATTAGCTTTTTTTCAGCAGCTGTAGCAAGCAAAACACCACGCCTCGAGAAGACAGTGCCCCGGGGATCGACAATATCTGCCATTTATACATTTTAAAAAATTGCCACCACCATCTTGCAGCCTTTTCCAGTGGCTTTTGAATCCCATACACCCCCATCTAAGCGGGAAAGTAGAATCATCATTCCGATATATAAAACTAGGTAAACACAGTTCTCACCAACTTACCAACCTATTACTCTCCTTACTGTTTTATCAAAATTGCTGACGTCGACAATCGCTGCTGAACCGACGCCATATTTAATAAGTTTGCAAATAAGTTCCAATAACCGACAAAATTTCGAACGTAGACAATGTGATTCACGAATCTGCCTCTTGCGCGGGACTCATGGCGGCTCACTAAGGAATCCACAGTAATGTGATTTACATAAACTTTTCTAAGGCTATCATCAGATTCGATCACGTAGTTATCCTCAGAATATTTTGTGCGATGGTGTTAGCAGTTCCTTCCTCTCCTGCTTGCAAGGCTGGATACAGGAAACAGCGATATAGATAAGAAGCGCCGACACTCGTTGGGAAATTATGTGCGTCTCAAGTGGCGTGCCACAAAGATCAGTCCACGGCGAGCTACGGCTTTAGTGAGTATCAATGGTTGGCGGCATCCGGTTTCGGATTTGCCTGTCACTGTGGCAAGCCACATGACGCCTGCGCCTACAGAGCGACCACGGGTGGCTTGCGCTGCACCACCCACAGCTCCATCCACACACCCCATATCCAGTGTAAACCCGAAGGAATAAGACCGGGAGGCATGAGGATGGGAGCCACGTTTCATCAACGGAGCCGGCCCACACTCCTTCACAAGCAAACACAAGCACGCTGTATTTGGGAAATCAAGCGCATACAAGGCGGTGGCTGGACCGTAGTCCGCTCCACACTGTGTGCATGGAACCGCTCTTTGAGCCTAGCACGGCCACAAGAACCGTGCACCCCGTCCCCTACAGCAACGACCAACTGTCTCCTGGAGCCAGTATGAACGATGTAGTGGGTAATAGACAGGTAGGCACCTTGTCAACATACACATCAAGCGCAACCATACCAGGGATATCAAACAACAGCCACTCACTTTAAACGACAAGCTGAAATAAAATAAATCCAATAATGCATACAGATACGGTGGCATAACACTTTGCTAAATTAGCATATGAAGTAAGTTGGTTAGCAACGAATACGCGATAAGGAAAAAAGGTCCGCAAGTTAGTTAAAAATGCTACAAACGCAACAAAGTTACCGAACATAAGCCCAAATAATGTAAGCAGCGTGGCCAGTTAATAGCAGAGTATTCAGGTAGGCAGAACAAACCAAATAGAGTGGCATGAAATTTAGCCAGCTTAAAAAGACCTAGTTTAAATGTAGGTTGGTTTAGCCCAACTGCGGTGAAGAAGCATCAAGAACGCAACATCAGCCTCAGCATGGGGCACAGTGGGTATCAATGACCACACAACAAACATACAATAACCGATGTAAAAGTTTGCAGATGGTGGTAACATCTGGAGAGCAATTCGCTCAACATCCGAAGGCACCTGTCTCCAGAATGACGAAATTGATTAACAAATGAGCAAAAACGGAACAGCTCCAATTGAAACCTGCAACGTGCCACCCGCTGACGGTGCGCAGCAGCTCCAATAACACATTTCTTCAGCGACAGCACATTCTGTAACACTTGAGCAGTGTACGAGCATTATGTATCGCAGTACAATAAAGACTGAGCAATTCGCTCCAATGCTCGAAAGCAGAAAAGGTGGCAAAACTTGAATTTGAGATTTTAGAGGTCAGCACTCGGCACTTATGAGTAACGGATAGTACACTCGTTGCTTATATCCTATATTCGTCTTCTTGATGGATATGCGGTTCAGGCTTAGCGTCCATTGATCAGTCCCAAAGAAGAGCCATCAAGGTAACACGGTGTCTATGCGGGCTCAACCATCAAATGCACTTCATTTAATCGGTGTGTTCTCCTCAGAATACCGACGGCTTCACAGAGGCCTTATTATCACACACCTGACACTAAGATAACGCGACCACCCACGTAAATCACTGTTGACCACAGTCCCTTACACATAATGCCGAAGCCACCGACGGAAACTGGTGATCAACAATCCCGTTTGGATCGTATAAATTACTGTTAATCTTTCAGAGTTTGTTCACAATAGTGCATTGCCAGTTCATGTGGTGAAAGCACCAGACATCGCGAGATTCGCAAGACTGTAGGACATTTAGCTAAGTGAAAAACACTGCACAACCTGTAATAAAGTGCAATGTCTAGATTATTGATACTTCAGACTCCAAGCCGGAACACTTCGATTCTGTGTTTATTTTCATTTGTCCTCCTGTAGGCCTTGTAAAGCTACTGCATTTTCCAATCAAATACTAGCTGTGGAACACTAGTGAACTATCGAAGAGGACGCGAACGACAGTATTTTCTGGCGGGTGACAGCCAAGGTCTACCTGGTTCATCAGTCACAGTTGCAGTGGTCGATTCAACTAAGATTTACTACAATGCGAATCGTGGTCCACATTGGGATTACGCGACGCAATCCAGCCACCCAACAAGTACTTCAAAATGGCCTCCAATTGGGACACAAAGTAACTTCAAACAATGTCAGTCTTTGAATGACTAACGGTTTGGACTGAACTCCCTATGATCCTTCAGTTCAAGGTTACACAGCGACAATCGCTGTGTCTAGCTATGCAATAAATGTGCTGAATAGCCGTAGTAACGGATAATCGCAGCAAACGTGCTATCATGTTCTTGGCTTATTTTAGTAAGCGGACAGACCATAGAACGAGCCCATTTTTACATGATTGCCGAAGCGTATTGTTTATGTTTAATTGGTTTTGTAGCGAGGCAGCTGACCGCAAGCGAACATTTACATTTTGATGGTTAGGCAATTGACTTTCTGGTCTATTACATGCTTGTTTGACCGAATTTAACCTCATGCATTAACGAAACAAACAATCAACTATCACAGATTGAGCCACATGTCACATCTGACAGCACATAGCATAAACCGCAGCTCGTGGGCTCAATCAAAGCCAACCTACTGCTCAGGGTATCACTTGTTTCAGGTAACGGTACAAATTTGGGATACTCTCCATATGTGGATGCGTAACATGTAAACCGACCAGAAAAGCCAATGCAATTATTCGTGCGTGTGTGTACATTGGGTGCAGACGGAATTACCAGGGCATGTACACGGTAGCGAACAACTGGATATCCTGGAAACCTGGATGTAGATTCACAAGTACATGACCTGCAAATCGGTACACAAATCACGTGATGGATGCTGGAATGCTACCGTGTTCCGATTGGGTTATATCTTGCATTTGTACAGTGCCCGTGGCCATAACTCATCAAACGCCACTTCGGATCTCTCGCAACTAGCTAACTTAACAGCCGCTAAAATCTAAGGTAAGCTACACACAGTCGGTTACGCTTAATTTAGCTAAGATGTTAGATATTCGTCGATTGGGAACTATTCTTCTGGGTGTATCCATTGGTCTAATCACCATCGGGTTGGCCATATCAAACTGGAGATGCGGAAACCTGTTTGAAGGCTGTCAGCATCTGTATGATTCAGATATGATCATCTCAGTCGCTGCTTTATTGGTTATTGGTGTGGTTTGTCTGGCCATCGTCTTCGTTTTGGATATACTCGGAGCGCGCTCCAGTACATTCGCTGAGAACACCGGGTATTTAACTGCTAGATTCGTGCTGCTCTACTTGGGCGCAGCTTGCACCCTTATAGCAGTCATTGTGTACACTGTCAAAGTTGGTCATGAATGGTCCTACTTCATCACAGTTGTGGGCACTGTAATCGCCGTCCACATTGCCCTTCTGGCACTCCTTCATACAAGGTGGACCAGAGGCACTGTGAGCTCGACCTAGTCACATGTCGTTTGCTTATTCACGCACCTCCCATTTTGTTCCAATCCAAGAGGTGAGGGTGCGGAACTTTGTTATTCAGCAACCACAGCGATATCCCCATGGTTAAACTTTCCCGACCTTGTAACACCCCAATGTCGAGTTAAACCAGCTTTCAAATTTAACTTCCATTAGTACTTACAACCTATTAATGTCTGCATGTACTCTATATGTGTAGCAAGCAACATTTGTTAACACGGATGTTCGCTGGATTTGTCATGGCTATTCCAATATATCGGTTGATCCCTACTTGTTCACGAGTTATTCTCACTTTAGATGATTAACTGTGTAAGTCGGCAACATTAGTGTGTGCAAAACATTTTTCTGGAAGTAATTAACTTGTCGAACAGTCAGTGAACTATCTGTCTTAGTCATTAATTAATGACCTGGCGCAAACTCTCGCTTCGAATTTTGTGCATTTGATGAGGACATCAGAATAGGACGAAGGTTTATGTGAGTGCCTACGATTAACTACCTCAATGTGACCGACCTACGTCGGTACGTCAGATACCGCAATCCAACATTAGCAAATGTAAGGTACTCGGCATACGACACCAAGGCACACATGTTGCAGCAATTTTCTGTCGGACCTGATCTAAGTGTTCTGTTTCAGCATGAGTTGGGTTGTTCCAAGCGCCTTGAAAAGGCATGGAAATTTAGCAGTCGACAGGTCGGATTGTCGGAAAGGGTGTTCAGACAGTTAGTTATGTTTGTCTTCCGTCAGATGCCCAGTGATTATCCCCGTTCTCATGTCGAACACGTAGTTTAAACCGGGTAGAAACACTAAAACATTATCTCTCTCCTAGCACAATCTCGGGGTCGTGCCTCCAATTGTGAGAATGGAATGAGTGGTATCTGTGTTGAGCTACTCAGATGCTAGTCACAAACGAGGACACGTATAAGGTGTAGCAAGAACGAGAACAGAGAGAACAATAATAACTGTCGGATCCAATGTATGTTGACAAGAACTATGAGGAATGGGGGGCAAGTAAACCAGAGGAGAGAAAGCGTAGCTGTGCTACTCACCTGTATTGGGCAGTAACCACTGCAACTTTTTATTTTTTGTTCTGTTATACCATCTCACTACCGCAACCCATTTTTTATGTCTTGGTTACGGCTTCACCGGTACGCAGTTTATTTTGTCCACTTGTGTATTATTCGACTATGCGGTTTCTTGTCTTATCAACCTACGAGATATTTTGAGCCTACGCTCTTTTTTCCATCATTAACCATTGTTCTATCATTCCCTTTTCTTCCTCATATTCCTATAAATTTTTACTTCACCTGCACTGCGGGGTTTGCTAACGCCGCATGCCTGGACACTAATTGGTTACACGTAATTTACCTCCGGTGTTTGATGTGGCTATCGACGTTTCCAGCTGGTACAGTCACGGGATTTCCTTGGTCTTATAATTCCACGGAGTTACGCAACGTAATTCTCCATCAAACATCTACCCTGGCTGTTATAATTTATGTTGTACTACTGCTAGTAGTCTAAAATATGCGGAGGCGCATTTCTAATCCACTGCCACCGGGTGTTCGGAGTATTTCAGTGTAGAATTCTGGTGAGGTCAACGATTCCATACCTTCTTGAGCGGATTATTAAAGCAAAAATTGATGCGGTTCTCAGAAGACCTAGCGAAACTATTATAAGCCTTAATCTCAGACCAACCAACTACTGCACGTATGGTCCGCACTACCAGTCTCTGCTGGCCCACATAGACTCAACAGTCAATCAAGTCTAGTTAATACTGTGTTTCATGCACTCATGAAAGCGAATATTCAGAAAAATCGGTAGCTTTACAAGACCCACAGGCACTTGAACTATCAGTAATCTAAAAATTGCACTTATTACAGGTTGTGCAGTGTTTTTCACTTAGCTAAATGTCCTACAGTCTTGCGAATCTCGCGATGTCTGGTGCTTTCACCACATGTACTGGCAATGCACTATTGTGAACAAACTCTGAAAGATTAACAGTAATTTATACGATTCAAACGGGATTGTTGATCACCAGTTTCCGTCGGTGGCTTCGGCATTATGTGTAAGGGACTGTGGTCAACAGTGATTTACGTGGGTGGTCGCGTTATCTTAGTGTCAGGTGTGTGATAATAAGGCCTCTGTGAAGCCGTCGGTATTCTGAGGAGAACACACCGATTAAATGAAAGTGCATTTGATGGTTGAGCCCGCATAGACACCGTGTTACCTTGATGGCTCTTCTTTGGGACTGATCAATGGACGCTAAGCCTGAACCGCATATCCATCAAGAAGACGAATATAGGATATAAGCAACGAGTGTACTATCCGTTACTCATAAGTGCCGAGTGCTGACCTCTAAAATCTCAAATTCAAGTTTCGCCACCTTTTCTGCTTTCGAGCATTGGAGCGAATTGCTCAGTCTTTATTGTACTGCGATACATAATGCTCGTACACTGCTCAAGTGTTACAGAATGTGCTGTCGCTGAAGAAATGTGTTATTGGAGCTGCTGCGCACCGTCAGCGGGTGGCACGTTGCAGGTTTCAGTGGGAGCTTATCTCAGATGCTTATATAGGTGGGCGAGGACGGTCCGCCCTGGGCGGCATTTTCAGTGTAAACAATTGTTCCAGATCAAGTGCAATTTCATCAAATTTACTTACACGGCTGAAGTAGTAATATTATCGATTGTAAGCATTACTCAGGCCGAAATTGAAATTAGTACTACGAAGCTGGATACCCGGGCAACAGAAAGGGACGTTGACATAATGGGTACAGCGGGCGATCTTCATATTGCTGATGCGGAAGTTGCTCACGAAGTTGTATAATTGGAAATGCAGTCACACTTTAGCGCGATAACGTGCACAGCATCCGATTTTAAGGATGTCTGTCATTTTTCTGTTGATATCGGTTACGTAATTTTCACTATGCTTGTCCGGCTCGGATCGACTGTTGTGCAACATGAAGATCATGAACTCCATAACTGGTGCTACCTGGAATAAATAAAATACCGACGCTAAGACCCTTCTGACGAATTAGTGTTTTCGGAATCTACGAAAAATTGAGCAAACACTGAAACACGGATGGTGTAGACTCCTTCGAAATAGGCCTTGCTTTGTTTCTTCTAAAGGATCTATTTAACGGGATATTCTAGTTTTTCGTATGATGAGGATTTCGGAAACTGGTAGAAAATACATCCAAAAGCGTGTGAAGACGAATCTAGTAACTCTCATGTTCAGCCATTTTTCAACTACAAGAAGCTAGCGATCCGCTTATTTGATGGGAAGGCAATTGGCAAAATGTAGCTATCACTTTAGAAAAGGAAGCAGTGGCGTAAAATTATATTTAGAAGCCTTGATATCATCAAGTTTCCCACCAAGCAAAACGCGACACTGCGTGGCCACCAAGAAAACATCCAGGAGGACAAAGTAAGCCAGGAAGAGATAGAATTTTTCAGCATTTGTATATTTCTTCGTCCAGTATGAAGCTGTTCTTAGTGAATATTTGATGACAGTTCAGCTGAAAGGAAAATCAATACTTTTATTTGTCTTCATACATTCAGAATGGATTAGTGAGTATTTCGGTAAAGTAGAGAAGAAAGGAAATCATAGATCAAGTCAAGGAAAGCAGCCATGTTTGCATAAAGTTTGCTAGCTCTCCGGATGTATCTCATAAAATTCGTATGGGTGAGATAATGTACTAACTAGAACTTACCTAAAATAAAGTAACGGTAGAGGAGTCGCTTCTCAACTTCATTGAAACCAATAGCAAGAGAGCAAAGGAAATTTCTGGACTGGTTTTGAGAGAACTGGAGAAAGATGGAAGTCTGGTTGGTGATTGCCGTGGCTAAGCATTTGACAGTACTGCTGTTATGGCGAGTTATCGATCGGGTGTGTTGTGACACATCTGTGAAACTGACCCAAAGTTACATTTGTGCTATACACAAACCGTTCTCTAAATCTGGCTTGTGTACGCACAGCTTCTGAGATGTTTAATTCTGTAACATTTCTAGTACAATGGACCGGATATTCTCATTCTTTTTCATCTAAATATTTTTGGAATGTCTTGATTCAGGTCACGGGTCTAAGGATCAATTTGTTGGGAAATCTAGATGGAGTAGTCCAGCAGACGCTGTAAATGCTGTGGTGAAGAAATACTCGGAACTCGTCACTTCGCTGAAACATTTTGCAGAACGAGGTGGAGATGTAACCACAAGATTAGATGCATCTTTACTTCTCATTTCGGTATTGTTGTTTCCACTTATTTCGTCTTTGGGCCTTTGGAGATCTGTTCTCATAGAAATCAAGGATGCACAGTTATGTAACTGCACAAAAGAGCTACGTCTGCAACAAAGCTTTGTCAAGCTTAAAATGTTAGGCGTTTGCATTCTTCAGAAAAGAGAGAACTTGGTGGATATTTCAATATGTGCATCCAAAAACACTGCGCCGAGTTGGGGAAAAGCATGAACCGTCGACTCCACCAAAAGAAACGAATGGACAGTGAAGAATTTTTTGCCATATCGATGGGGTTGATTCTGGGTTTAAACGGGAAATGCTGTCTGTCATAGACAGTATGACTGATGAAATGACATAGTTTTTAGCAAATTCCTGACCTTGAAAACAAATGTGCTTTTCTTACACCGTCAAATCTGATTGTCCGCTCAGTGAAGTTGAGGAATTAAAAAAACAGGAAATCTTTGCCGAAAAGAGAAAATCGTAGTCTTCGTGAACTTTTCTAGAAATGAGAAAATTAATGACCATCCTTAAGTTTCGAACTTCATACTGAAATATTACCTTGGGAATCTGCTGCGCATCTTTCGTACAAGAAACAGTATCACTGCAGGCTGTGAGAGCGCATTCTCAAAAAGCAAATTTATATCAAATTCCTTTCAAGTATCAATGAACCAGACTAGGTTTAAAGATTGATACTTCTTCCCACGGAGTGTGAACTTGCCAATGGACAGAATTTTGATAGGGTTATCAATACTTTTGCCACCCAACTAATGCACGATAAGTGCATATGTAAATGTAGTTTACGAGCATAGTATCAATACAAATGATTGCATTTACAACCGTACTGTAAAGATCTTTGACTTTTTATTTGAAGCGAAATATTAAGTTCCGGCTCGCAGTTGTGAGGGTTTTCGTCTTTACAACTGCCAAGAGGTGACAAGTTTACACCCGCCACGGGGGGCAAACGTAGTTGCTACATCTTTGGCTGGTTCAATTCTGCCCATTTGCTAATCCACTCCAGATCGTTCGGTAGATAAGCACGA